TGCTGCCCCGTGTCCCCGCGGTGCTGCCGCCGCATCGGGCACCACCTGCCCCGCGAGGAGCTGCCGTGGGCTTCGCATGGGCGGCAAACACATCCAGGATGACATCCCTGCTAGGCACTAGGGATTCTGCAGTTGGACGCGAGGGTTTATGGGCATCACGGTGCTTAAGGACGGTCACTAAGCATCCCCAGCCTGCTCACGTGTGCTCTTGTAGACTTTGGTAACTTTGGTTGCAATTACTGTAATTGAGCAGGGATGCAACCAGGGGATTTCCCCATTACGCGCTTTGATGCAAAGCAGCTGTTTTACCTGACTTCTGATAGGTGACAGCATTGGCCTTCCTGAGTCAGCCAGCGTGAGTTAATGGTGGTGTTCTCGTGAATGGAGGTTTGCAGAATCCAACTTCTGCGTGTTGGGAGAGACACACACCTGCAACCAAATACAAATTATATTAATAAAAGACCTAGCCGGGGTTGTTAAATATAATAGCAGTTGTTGCAGTGTGACTGTTGTTACTCACCATATATGGATATCAAATTAGACTAGAAGTAGAAAGGTCTTCTTTGAATTATTTCATAATATACTTTGCTCTCTGTGACAACTGTTGTTCATAACTTAAGAATTGCACATGATAACTCTCTTAATGCCTGCTGCTCCTTCCTTCCGAGATGAGAGAATTTAGGCACAAACTGTCAGGCCCTGTAACATCATGAAGAGAAAACCATTGCACAGAAGACCACACTGAGAAACTGTAGAGTTGCCTTTCGTTTCATCCTTTGGAATAAAAGTCTGGAAGCATCTCAAACCTGCCCTGTCCTTGACAGTAGAAATTAATGTTGTGCGAGCTCCCACAGCCACCTATGTTGCCTTCTAGCTCCTTGAACCAGTCTGGATCTCCTATAGCACAGCATCCGTAGCATCCATGCAGCTACAGAAAATACTGGCCCCAAAACCATGGTTTGTGGAGCTGGTTGCCAGCTCAAAGGATGGCACAAATCTAACACAGCCTGAACTAAATAAATCAGAGAAATCTTATCATGTCAGACTGGGAGGATGGATCCAAATTGTAGAGTATCTGTGATTATTCAGTCACTTTCAAGAGTTTCTTCCGTGATGGCCTCAGCTTCCACCAGTGCTTTCCTGGTTGATTCTTTATGGGGCAGGTGGTTTTAGCAAACCTGCACTAGCTTTCTCTTGGCTTAGTAAGTAGAAAGAAATTGTAGCAATAAATTATAAACATAAATACACCTATTCTGCAGTAGTTCAGTGCAGATAATGGAGTTTAGCTAGATCTAGATGGAGAGTAAGCAAAACTATTCTGGAAGTTGCTCAATGCTTCTCATTCTTAGAAACCATTCCCTGAAGGCAAACTTTAGTAATTTGTAAAATAAGAAGGGGAAAAAAGAATCCACAAAGTACAGCCTGTTTCTTGAAATATGTTTCAATGCTTGGTGCTGGAGACTCAATATCTGCTGCACTCTTTTCCAAAATACATGTCTGTAGACAGATTTCATCAGGACAGGGAAGCATTTCATGAAAATGAACATAATTGTCAGTTGCCCAACTGTGCCAAACAGAGGTAGTGAAACCTTTGAACATTCATAGCCCTCCACACCCTATGCTTCACCTCCTTGTGTCCTAACCTCCCTACCCCTGGTGGAAGCAGCTTCTTGTCTTTATTTCTTTCTCTTGGAGAAGCACCCTTCCCTTGCCCTCAGGGCAGCCCTGGTCCTGTGTTACGTGGGCTGTGCCTTTGTATTTGACCTGTCATGCCACCATGCCAGTTACTCAGATACACAAACACTGGAAATGCCAGTCTATGTGTGAGGTCTGTTTCCAGTTGGAAGGGAGACGGATATGCTTAAGTACCAAAAAAACTGCCATGCAGCTCATTTGTTTATAAATGAGTGAGCTGATGCTATGCTCTAATGCTGCCACTCCTGGGCTGAACTCCCCTGTGTGACATTGCAGACCCTGGCTGTGACACAGAGGGGACCACCCCTGTGGACAAAGAGCCTCTTAGGGTAGTAGAGGCCTTCTGCTACACATTCTCTTGCCTTGCAATGGTACATGGAAGGGAGATGGGTTATGGTTTGGACCTCCATAGCAGCGTGAATTCCAGCTGTAACTTGTGCTTGTTGTAGCCACTGTTAAGTAGCTTCAAGGACCTGCACCTCTTCAGAGGCTTCTGTAGCTGAGGGAAATGGGAATACAGAAACCGCGGTGTAATTGTGTTTAGATATACCCTGCTCCCTTTGAGCTGCACTCTTAAAATCAGCACTAACTCCCTGGAGAGCCCTGCAGAGGAAGGAAGTGGGTGCTGAGGACTACTACCCCCTGGGGCCAAGGGTCCTAAGACAGCCCTCCCTCTCCACTTTGTTAATGAGAGGCCTTGGGATGTAGGCAGCATCTTGCCAGCAGCAGAATAACCCCTGGTGCAAATAGCCTTTCTGTCCTTGTCTCTTGTCTTGCTCCAGGCCCCCTCCCACCACCTCCTCCCATAA